CCTCCAGCTCTCCAGCCTTCAGCCCCATTTTCTGGCACTCTGCGACGCTCACAGGCACCGCTTTGCCCGACTTGAGAGGGTGAACGAGGATCTGCGACACGACGCCCACGCGGACGGCTTTTTCTGGCTTCCGCATGTATTTATATCCGAGTCCAAATCCCAGAAGTGCGGCTCCGGCTGCGCCGACCAGAAGAGCCGCTTTCTTATTCTGGGCCAACGCGTTCGCAGCCAGCTCCTTCAGATCCATTTTGGACTCGCCTCCTCGCAGACTTTTCACTCGACTGCGAACTTTTTATTAAAGAGACAGCGGGCGTCCGCGGTGCGACGTTCACTGACACGCTCGCGGGGTGGTTAATGAGACGCGCTCTCCTTGTGTCATGAAAGGCCAATGAAGGCAATTTGACTTTCTCACGCATATTTCTGACAGTCTTAATCAAAGTAACACACACACGCACGCACGCACGCACGCACACACACACACACACACACACACACACACACACACACACACACACTTTTCCCTGCTCAGTTCAAACTGAACATTAAAGGCATAGTTCAAGATTTTAATTAGAAAATCAACTTTTTTTAAATTTATTTTCTTATGACGTTGTTCCCTCATCAAAAACATACCTGGATTTCTTTGATTGTTTCGTGCATGTTGGAAACCTGCAGAGACCTGCTCAGAGCTGCAGTTTTCAAGCTTCAGCCTCACGGAGCAGCCCTGCCTTCAGGCTCCCCCACTCAGCTCCTTCAGACTAGCCAACAGTAATTAGCAAACACCTGGTGTGATCCACTGAGCTCATCACACCAGATACGTCTCAGAGCTACGCTGGTAAAAATGTTGTTAAAGGGTTCATGAAGGAGCCATGTTGAGATGACTTCCTGAAGGCGGGGTTTCAGAAAGAGCAGGAGTTTCTTAAAGAGACAGAGGCCCAATTTCAGGGCGTTAAATCACAAATAAAATTTTCTTTTGCGTCATGTTTGATATAAAGCCTTTTTGCAGTCACTAAATGTAGCACAAGACTGTGCTACAAAATGACACCATGTGCATAGAAATACACAACACTGCCCCTTTAAATCAACAACCTCCCTACAGAAGCTCACTTCAAAAAGTCCTGAACAATCCCTTTCATAAATGACACAAACTTTGGGCCCACTCAGGGCTTTTTATATCTTCTTTCTTTAAAACCCGTTGCCAAGTGATGTAATGCCATCGCTGACCTTCTCAGTGGACCTATTTTTGTCTTTGACATAGATAGCCAGGTCTGTGGCCAAAGTAGAAAACAGCAGATGCTTTAGCGATAGGGGGTCAATACAGGGATTTGTCCAGTCGACACTCCTTCTGTTGCTTCTCCGTGGTCCACGTCTAATGGCTCCGGGCAGATACACGGGCTCAGGACCGGCCCGCACAGCCTGCTTGGGAAGGATGGAGTGCCGAGCAAATTTTGACTATGACAAAAAAAAAAAAAACACTAATTACCCTCGGCTGCTGACAGTTTGATGGGATAATTCTGCTCTTAGCGGATTAGCGGATCAGTCTCAGTATCTGCTCTGCAAGTTTGGTTCTGTTTAGTGACGTTTTCTTTACAAAATAATTAACAGCAGTGGTTCGTTGCCTTGCAGTCAGAAAAAAAAACAAAATAAAGAAATCCCCCCCCAAAAAAAACAACATTGCAACTATGAAGAACGGTGGTGGCAGCATCATGCTGTGGGGATGCTTTTCTTCAACAGGAATGCTGGTCAGTGACTGACAGTACACTCATCGAACTACACTAGAAAGAGGAGAACGACAATGGAATGGTGTGGACGAAAAAACATTTTTGTGATAGAATGGCCTAGTCAAAGGCTAGATCAAAAAGCAGTTGAGAATCTGCGGTAAGATTTTAAAACTCAAGCCCGCGGATGTTTTCCATCCGATCTGACTGAGCGCTTAGCTTTTTTAAGAAAAAATGTTAAGAAAAAATTTTTGTATTAGAACGTGAAAAAAAAAAAATCAAAAAAGTCTGATCTTAAGTTAGAAAATGTGAAACTGTTTAAAACTTGTGCTAGCTACTTTTGATCCATATAATGGTCTATCAATAAGCCTGTCACATTAAGTAGTCAATCAGTCAATCATATGATAAATGAAAATGAGATCAATCATTTCCGTTTTGATGATTAACATTTTTTGAAGGAATTGATTGTTTACAGAGACTTCATAATCTGATCTAATGTGAGTTATGTTTTCGGTTGTGTGTGGTTTTGATTTTGCATATTTAAAATATCTTCAACATGAATTAATGTGTTTACCAACTCATTAATTAAGTGTTCCTCACAAAATCAATGCTTATTGGTCTCTGATAGAGAAAAAATGCATTATTGTGCCACAAACAACACATTACTTGAAATAGTCTCGAAAAAACAACAACAAAAAAACAATGTTATCGCTTATCGCAATAATTACTGGGACAATTTATCGTCCAGAAAAAAATCTTTTGTCATTTGATCTACTTACCACCTGAGTATCATATTTTTTTGCACTGTTGCTCCTCTGGATGCTGTTTCAAGACTTTGACATCAACATATTTCATACAGTTTCCATTAAAACAGTGGATGCAGCCGCTCTCTGTGTACTGGAACAGAAGGGAAGAGCAAAATGAGTAAATTCACGCTGAGCTCATCTTTCTCACTCCGAAGAGAAGTGCAACATTAAGTAAAGCTGTGAAATGTGTTTATTGCCAGTCATCTATTTATATTGCTGGCTATTTTTATTTCTCACTAAGGTTTGCACAGATCTTATCCTCACATTTCAATGAATAATTGTGTACAATAAAGGCCAGTCTAAATGGTAGATAAGCTGAATTTGTACAGCACTTTTGTAGTTGCGCTCATCAACAAAGTGCCGGATTCACCCAATCACACTCAGAAATGTTTATGGACGACACGCAGACTCTCTGTCACCGCCACCAATGTCCTAAAGTTACAATAGCTTATCGTTCCAGATTCTGTCCAGTCTGAACAGCAGACCAGGCAGCCAACTATCCAGGATGTTTCTTTGGATATTAGCAATTTAATGTGACTTGCACTTCTTCCTTTGAATGATGCATTTTCTCTCTTCATTTTGTAAGATAGCCATTTTGTTGCCCCACACTGAGCAAAATGCAGCAGGGTTCACCTTTTAGCAAACTTAGATCTATGTTTGTTTGGACTGCATCTAGATCAGGAGTGGATGTTTCACTTCTGATAAGATACCGATATTGCAGTTCTGAGTGTTGTCCGATACCGATATTGATACAATATCAGCAGAAATCATGTACACTTTTATTAATTATCTTGTTGTGTGGTGCGTTAGAAAATGTTTGATGGAGTGATATTCAGTAGGTATGAGACCAACAGACCTATTTATTAACCAGAAGGTGGTTCAGACTAAATCCTGGAGCGGAGTGTTTGTATAGGAAATTTTAGATCCAGGTTGATATAATCCGATACTTCTGGCTGATATCACACCGAGTTCTGATTTCTGATATTGATATCAGATCGGGACACCCCTAATCACAATTTAGATGAGCTTTCCCATCTTCCCCAAACAAAGTGGAATATCCGAGAAGATGAACACTGGTCCATTTAAAGCAGCCAAGCAATTCTGAGCGTAAAAACTGTTCACTGTTCTACTATGTGAGGATATTATGGTTCAGATTAATAAAGATGATGGTCCCACCAAAGGGAGGCTTAAACATACTTGAACTATGTCAGATAGAAAAATCTCATAGGAGACCCAACAAGTGACGTTGTGAACATAATCAATACTGCATAGAAAGTCTACTTTCCTGCACTTATTTTAACATTTCATAATTTTTTATAAATATATATATATATATATTAAATACATGAAAAGCTGTTGTTTAAATGTTGACTGTGTACCTCTGGCTGCATTGGTCTTCCAGTAAAAGCGCTTCCTTGTCAGTGTTAGGGCTGCACTCTCTTGGGCAACATAAAAAGGAGTTGGTTGCACCACTTAGACTCGTGACTGTAGGTTGTCCAGATCTGGAGTTCAGTCAACATTCCCATGGGGAAACCATCTGGGCCCTAATAGTCATTTCTATACATTCAGCAGGATTTTCTTCCTCAGCACATATTGATAAAATATGCGCTGACAGTCATGGTAAAGAGCAAGTGCATCCTCTTTTAGCTGGTTAATTCCTCAGCAACGATAAGCTCATACAGAAGACCGCTCCTCGGGATATCACTGATAAACTAGGTTATTAAAAACTCTTCAGTCAAATAGCGTCTCTAAGGTTTTCAACCGGTTTCTACATCTTGTCTGTTATGTTGGGTCGTACGTTTTGGTCCTCATACATTGGCTGTGTTTCCATTACAAATGTGAGCAAAACTTTGTCTACATCCAACTAAGAAACCATTAATGCAATTAAAATCACATGTGAATGAGTATGTTCACGCGACAAGTCATTTTAAAAACGCCGCGCTCTCATCCTTCTACCACTTCCTGTCATCTTCTTCTTCTTTTTCTTCTTCGTTTACGCCATTGGCAGCATCTGGTTGTGGATCATGTGACACTGTGTGTTTACATTGTAGGTTTGCTAAATTAACCAATTTCGATACGGCCAAACAACAAAATTTTTGATTGACAAGATTTTCCTTTTTAATTCAACTGTGTGAATTTCTGTTTATGAAATGTCAAATTGCTCAATTTCAGGTAAGTGAAAATGCAGTCTTTTTATACTCAGGACTTCACTTGTCGAGTCAGATTATTATGTATTTGAAGTTCTATTAATTTAATTCTACAAACTGGCTGAGACCAGGTAATTATCTCTGTAAATTATGTTCAAAAATCTGTAAAACTGATATGTGTGCTTTCTTTTTGCCTTGACTGCAAGAAACTCCCTTCTACAAAATGTAATTATGAACATGTTTGCATCTTAAATTACGTCAGAATTTATCAAGCCACAAAGGACATCAACAACATAACAAAAAACTCAAAACCAGTCATTTTATTGGCAAAATATTCATGTTTTACTGTTGACAGATTTAAGGCCCATAAGTATTCTGCAAGAACAAAGAACTTTGTTCTCTCTCCCAAAGCTGCAAGAACATTTTTGTTGCCTGTTGTCAAGAAAATATGAGGAAGTGGGAGAGACCTCTTTGGAGTTCTGCACTTTTTTTCTAATTTCCCTGTTCTTGCTGATGTACAGGCCTGTAAAATTAATTAATATTCCTGAAATATAGCTTCTGTCATTGCTCAAGTATTTTTTTTTAAACCTTTGCATACAATTAACAATAGGTTCTTATTTTGTTGGTGAAAGAATCGAAAGCATACGTTCCTTTTCTTTAATAATCATATGTAAATGTGTATGTCAGTCCAGCACAACAGGTTGATGCTGCTACATGATTTCATCCTCTGAGGAGACATCACATCATTTCTTATTTGCATGTAATACGTGCACCGGTTTAGTCTGTTAGTCCCAGATTTCACCCAACAAAGCAAACGGTAAAACACGTTAAATGACAAAAAAAAAAATAAAATAAATACATTGAATAAATACATTTAAAAAATCCAAGTACAGATATGTGGTGAAATTGTGTCTTAGGAAACTGGCCAAAATATGTAGATGTTGCCGTTCATTTAGAATTTCTAATGTTTTCTACAAACCCAGAGAAAACTGGTAGAAAAGCGTCGGTGTTGGTAAAACCGTGACACTTACCCAGAGCTCTGCAACAAAATAAACTTGATAACTTTTCCAATGAGCAATAAGGCTCCTTAAAACTGAATTTATCGCAAGATTCATGGAGCAATTAAATAGCTGAGACCAAATCAAAGATGCTTAGTTTATAACCCCCAGTCATCTGTTGAAGTAATAATGAATACAGTGACAAAAAAGGATGTACTTTCTCTTTAAAGGGGTACAGTTTGTCCCCTTGATTGATTTTGTCAGCTGCTTATTTGTAAAGTCACAGAATACAATGATAAGCAAATCGAAATAATTCATCTTCAGGGGTTAAAATGGAGTCGTTCCTCCTCGAAATGAAGCAAATGCGACTCTGCATCATGCCCACCCACTGACAAACCACCAAATTGTACCCAGGAATACGTGAGACTTTAGCTGAAAGAGAACTTTTTTCTGAACCATCAATCATCCCGATTCCGTCTATTCAAGCAAAGCTGTCTGTGACTGACAACCAACTAATTACACATTGTACCAACATGGTAACCCCCCTCCCATCTGCCCCAACAGACTCCAAAAAAAGCAAACAAAAAAAAACAACAACCCACAATTGAATCTACTGTTTGTTCCAGATGTGATCTGCACATCTCTGTGCACATTATGTGTAATGTGTATTGTTGCGTTTCGGCAGGTCTTCTATCCTCTGTGTTCTGTTGCCATCAATGAAAATGCTCTAAGGAAATGCCTAAGAGACTTTCCTGCCTGAAAAGCAAAGTAGACACAGCATACTGTCAAACACAGCTCCGTAATATTAGGAAAACATAACATTGTCAGTCATTGTTGGATATTGTGATGAAATTAACATTTGGATTTAAGCCACATTTTAGAATCTGTACAGCTTAAATCGTTTGACGTCTATTTCAGTTGTTGACACACAACAGAAAGTCCATCTAAGTGTAAACTATTGGAAAGCAGTGTTATTGCCTGAATTATAGCTACCAAATATTGTACCAAATATAATTTTTTACTGATATTGCATTAAAAAATTGCAATAATATGCTGTGCTGTGCAGTGGAAAATAATTAGCCTAGTTTAGCATAATAACCTCAGGCAGCAAAAAACGGCTAACCTATGACAATTAGCTAAAAGAATTATCCTCGATCCAATTTTCAAGGTTCTTTATATTTGCAGCAGAAAGACGTCTTATCGGCATAAGTTTGTAGAAAAGCGAGTAAGCAGTCTGAGCGGTGAAAGCGAACGAGTCAGAGCCGATCGATGAGTCGCAGCTGATAAGGCGGACTGATACGGCTAGCAGCCTCCAAGTTGTAGCATTGCAACACAGATGTAGTTTGAGAAAACAGAAACAAAATTCATATCTGTCATCCCTAGTGAAATTGTACAAATTATATATCGACGAGAATAACACTGTGTCAAATTGATAAGAATCATTTCTTATTGTTCAAAAGAGCTAAAATTAGGATGGGACTGACTAAGCTTCTACCAGTTATTCTTCACCAAGCACGGCAAGCATTTTACTACAGATACTATTGTTTATGATAACTTTGAATCTTATTTGAAATTTTTTAAAAACATCCCTGACAAATCAGAAAGAGTGTATTTATGGTTTATGTTGCCAAGAAATCAAATAGAAATATCCTTAGATACTCATTTGTGTTTTATGCGGGTTTTTAGTTGTTGTTTTTTTAGCCATTTTAAAATGCTTGATAAATTTTTTCTGATTGACAGACAATTCTACATGAAATATTTCTTCCATTATTCAGTACATAAATGTTACATATAGGCTAGAGATAATTACTGAACCGCAATGCATTTCTTTTTGTTTCCAGCTCTGGCTTTGGGGATTTTCTTGCAATATGGGTTAGAACATCAAACATCTAAATACTACAGTTTAGCTACCAGTCAACCAGATGAATGAAAGAAAATGAACCAAGACACTTTAACCTGCAGTAAATACAGTCCATCAAGCTCATTAAGACAAATTGATGATGAACGTAATTAAACTGAACTCGTGGTACGTCGTTTACTTCTAGGGTAAAACCAATCAAACTAAAGGATATTTCAATGTGTTATTGTCCGTGGCCACATTGTTTTTAGACTTTTCCACCTGACAAATTACATAAGTTTGTGCCTAGCACCAGCAATTTGGTTGGAGAGCACTGACAGTCAGGGTTCCAGCTACAGATGTGACTCATATGAAGTTAGTCGACTATTCCAGACTTGGTAAAGTTCTGATGGGTCACGAATGCTGTGAGAAATTCTCGCAAACTGCATTGTCTTCTAAGTAAGAGTGTATGACATGAAATCTGGTGTTCATAAAATGCCACATTTCTCATCAAAGCCCGTCTAGTAAAAAACTCCCAGCCAGTGGCCTTGTCGGGTGAAATAAGTGCCAGTGATTATTCTGGATCCCTGCTATGAAAGCTTGTGATTTATCCGAAAAGGAAGCCGTTCTTGAGTTGCCCCATGCAGTAGGTAAAATCCAAAATTATTTTGAAGAAGCCTATAAAAATTTTAATATACCGGTAGTGATGTAATGCAAAAGTTTACATATCTGGCTAATCGTTAGCCGCTAATGGTGCTAATGGAAAGCTAACTGAGTTGCTTTCCATTAAGCAAAAAGGGCTTTTTTATAGTATCTTAAACAAAGCAGGGAGACATTTGCTTGTCTCTTGTCCGCATCAGAGTCACCTTAGACAGAGATAAGCATTAAATATATATATTTGTCAAACATGGACTGGAATGTTGTACTGTGATAACAGAGAGCAAAGGGAGAGGAAAAGTGATTTATGAAACCTTTTCTATATCTGTGGAACAAAAATGGAGATTCTTTATAACAACAATATTGCTAAAATCTTGTCTCATAAACTCACCTCGTCTCGTGAGCTGGATATGTTGATACACCTCTAAACTTAAAAGATGAAGGAACAGCATGAGTAAAGGAAACATTTAGGAAGTAATGCCACACTCGTTAATGAAATTGCAAAATTCCTATTTGCTGCGGGGAAAACAAGATTCAGTTCTTGTTTCTCTTCATTTCACCGTCCCCTCACTTTGTTGATTTCACCAGCCGAGCATCCGATAGGCATAACATGCACCACGTTGTGTTCATGTGCCGTGACTCCAAACTGGTTGGACCTAACTCTGTTGAGGACACACACGCAAAGCCTCAAAATGAAACCCTTTTTTGACTGTTCTGTCTGCATTACATATTTGATCAAGACTTTGCTGTGTGCATAATCCTTTTTTTTTTTTTTTTTTGCGCAGTATACTCTTGGAATACCAGGATTGTAGCACCACGTACATCTAGTTGAAGTTAAGTGTTGTCATCACTTGCTGTGAAAGGCTAAACGGAGCTGCGTCTTTTAAACAGATTGAATGGAGACAGAATGTGTAGGCCTGTTGTTATGGAGCTTATGCTGGTGCATTGACGTGGACTGCACACACAGCCTGTTGATCCAGGATCCATGTAGTGAGGACAGGTACTGTTCTGCTGCAAGTAGGGATCTGAGAAAGTCATCTCCTGAGGGATCATGGTGGGTATGGAGCCCTGCAGCTTCTCTTTGCTTCTGTACCATAAGCAGGAGCATATTGTTTGGAAATGCAACACCTCGGTGTAAGCACCTTTTAAATCTTTAGCCTTCGGGGCGTCGTTGGCTACGACGGTGGACGAGGTTGAGGTCGAGAGCGGTAGAAGACGAACCACCTCCCCTCGGGGCTTGCCCACGGACATCAAGGCCTTCTGCTTGGCGTCCCGCCGCTCGTCCTCGGTGTTCATGGTCAGGAAGCGAAGCACGACGAGATTCAGGAACGCCCCGATCACCGTCAGGCCCATGAGGATGTAGACGAAGCAGAAAGCCACGTAGCGCGGGTCGTTCTGCAGCGCGTCGTCCCTCTGCAGGGCCACGTAATCTCCAAACCCGATGGTGGTGAGCGTGATGAAGCAGTAGTAGAAGGCGTGCAGGAAACTCCATCCCTCGCAGTGGGAGAACGCCGCGGCGCCCACACACAGAGTGCTCAAGCAGGAGAAGAAGCCGACCGTCACCATGTTCGCCATGGAGACCTCGGTCTGATGCATTCCCAGGCACTTTTTGGCTTGATGCAGCAGGTATCTGACGAACGTGTTGATGCGCTCTCCCAGGCTCTGGAACATTACAAGGGTGAGCGGGATCCCAAGCAGAGCATAGAACATGCAGAACACCTTCCCTGAGTCGGTGCTGGGTGCTGCATGGCCGTAACCTAAGAGGAGAGAGAATACATTACATATTTGTAACAGTGTGCAGGACGGCAAATATATGGGTCTTAAAAAACTGACCTCAGATGTCTTTCACTGGTCATTTTAAAGTAACACCAAATAGTAAATATTCTCAGCAAACTAAACACTCATAAACCAAGACTCTTAGTACTATAAGTTCAGTCCTAGTCTTTATGTTACACTCTTAACAATGGAAAGTGACTTTTCAGACCTGTTGAGTATTTTTTTCCCTTTTTTAATCAATTACCAACAATTCCACCAACTTTCCCTGTTGTAATTGGAGTGTTTTTTGGGGACTTGTGAAAGCACATGTTGTTTTGCTCTTCTCACTGAGCGGCAGATGCTACGGTCGGAAATTCTCCAGTCCAAGAACACTTCAGGTACCGCTCAGTTCGGATGCGGAGTCCGTGTCTTCGCACCTGGAGCCAAAAGCACTTCCTATCTGTCCAGGTCAAATCACCTCTAGCTCCTCCCCTTCCACTCAGGGCCAGAAGAGAATGTAAATATAAAATCAATCACTGCATTTGTATTTTCTGTTTTTGTTTGTATTTCTGATTGTAGACACAAAGTTAGTTTAAATAGTTGTTTTACTGTAACTTCTTGTAGGCTCCCAAGTGGAGTTCAGGCTTAAAAACCAAACCATCGAAACCACAAATCTAAAAGTAAGAAAATATTTTTTTTCTATAAATTACCAGAAAAAAATATATGTCTATAGTAATAATTTGTAGTCATAAGCATACCACAACCCGATTAATCTCTTTTACATCACCTATTATTGCCTTTAGAGTCTGTAATTGATTGATAATTTCAGTTAGCGACTTTTACGACATCAAATAGAAACTTTTCTTTCTTGTTTTAGCCAGTCTAAACTCTTTATGGTTTTATCCACCATCAATTATATGATTTTGAAATTGTGAAAGACTCGTGTTAAGAACATTTACAACCTAGCTGTGTAGACTATGTGCAGCTCCAGTAAGAGATGCTAACTGAGCTAATGGTGCTAATCACTACATTTTAAAAGTTAAGAACTGGTCGACAATGAACGCCATCACATGTTCTCTATTTCACTAAAATGAGTTATTTGTTGTGACTTTGGCCTATTGATGCCTCTGCTCATGAATAATTAATGAGCTCCAGCAACAAAACAGCTAACAAGTTTGTTGGTAAACCATTTTGTTGATGGATCATTTTAGACCTTTTCGCACTCAGAAGAAGCTTTTTTTTAAGAGCTAATGGTACATTTTTGGGTCCGTTAGTTTAATATTTGGTTAAACAAATGCAAATATAGGATCTGTCTTTTTAAAATAAAGACAGATAAAGAAAAAAAGCTAATGTAAAAGAAACAGTAAAGTGATAAATATCCTCTTAGTGAGACGCTAAAGAAAGTGCTGAGGTGAGAAGACTTTACCGTATGAGTCACCTGTAAACACCTACAAAATGTATTTGTTGTTTAATCTACATTTTTGATGAGTCTGTATCAAATCAACATGTATGGCATAGCATCATTACAGTTGTTATAATCACTATGCTAAATTAGGACTTGGATTAATTTAATCTTTTCTGTATAAAGTAGAGCAATTTCATCACGTTAAGTCTTTCATTAACATTTCCTGAAGAAACTAGAACACTTCTGGACTTTTACAGGAAGTAACCAGAGAGAACCCAATATACACAGTGAAATATGAATGCAAATCCAGCAGTGTTAAAGGCCGAGCCTCCAATATCGGTGAACTAAAACAATTCTGGCAAAAGTAAGTGGACAGAAAATGCCCCCACAGCGATATTAATGACTCATTACCGGCTATCCAGTTACGCTGGTTGGTTGATGTTCCCCCTGGTGGCACAACCAGTATAGGTTTACTTTTTTACATCAGGCCAAGTCCACATAGAAATCATTGTCTTGTGATCCTGTCCTGATGTTCAAAGTTATTTTCATAAAACCAACTCTTCTCGTTGAGGTAAAGAAAGCATGGCTTTGTTTGACCAAAACAAACAAATAAATACAATATTGTTGCTGAGCTTCCTGTATGTTACCAACAGGTATTCTTAAAATGCAAACTCTGCAAGCAGGTTCATTGCAGGGCTGCGTGACGTCCACCGCTATCTCTCACAGAAAACGCGTGGCACTAACTCAGGCAATACCTGACACACACCTGGACATTATTTCATTAAAATTGAACTGAAATTGTCAAGAGAGCTCAACTTTAGTCATATCAAAGCTTCAAAGAAATCAGTGACTGGAAATTGGCCTCAAAACCTCTGATTGGTGCATCTCTAAAATTAAGGCAAATTAAGTTAACCGAGTAACTTTTACAGCGTGGTGGGAAGAAATATATTAGAAAACACCCCCCTTAAAAATGCGGTGAAATGAAAAGACAAACAAACAAACAAAAAAATGCAAGTGAGCACATTCATTTGGCATATCTAATTTATTAGATTTATTTTGTGTTATTGAATAATCCACCGTTGTCTTTATTCCTCTAACTGAAGGCAAATATTACTTTCTTTAATTTTTATAATTCTTAGTTTTCTACGTAAAGTCGCTGATTCTAAAAGCCAGGCAAAAGGAGCAACAATTCACCTTTCTGACCCCAGAAAACATCAAAGAACGTGCCGTCTCACCTGGCGCGCGACGTGACAAATCCATGAAATATCTGACAAACAAACCGCGACGACACGAAATACTCTAGAGAGAGATGGGGGACGGGAGGTTGGGGAGGGGGGGACAGCCCGAAAGGCTCTGTCCCACCTGCGCTCACCTATGGTCGTGATCACAGTGATGGCGAAGTAGAAGGAGCCCGCGAATTTCCACTGGACTCCGGCTTTGTGAGGTTTGAACTGCAGGACGACGAGCTCGAGCTCCTCGAAGTTCGCTTTGGTCAAGTTGAACTTGCGCATGAGTTCGTGCTTCCTGGCGTCCAGCCGCCTCCTGTGACTCTTCTCCTGCTTGGACTCCAGGGTCTCGAAGACGGCCGCCCCGACCACCAGGTAGGTGAGGATGCTGATGATGAGCGCGAGCGTCCGGGCGTTCTGTCTCTTCATGGCGGCGAGATGAAAAGGTGGGGAGGGTGGGAAAAAAAAAAAAAGTCGGCCGCGCGCGCCAGCTGAGGCGCTCTGCGACCTTCTCTTGACGCGCTGCGGATCCAACAGAGGAGACTTTTGGAGATGGAGCCGCACCACCCCCACATCACAGTTGGGTTGCTACTGTAGGCTATTTGGACTATTTGTCACCGTCTTATATTTAGATACGGTAGAAAAGGAAGAAGAAGAAAGAAGGAGAAGAAACACGCAGGGCAATCCCACAGACTTTTTAAAAAAATTTTTTTGGAGTGGCAGCTCTAGCTAAACGCTTAGCTTTCACTAACAAAGTGCCTCAGCCTTCGGCTGAGAAGTTTGTCACATTACTAGATATGATCTTCTGAAATGTGGAAAAAAAAAAAAAGGAGAAGGAAACAGTGTTTATTTAAACATCCTGTTTCCTGTTGCTGCACAGGTCGTCTAGCAACCTGATGGCCATCCTTCCCCTATGTAAACATTGAGGAGAGTTCACACTGATGGATCCTCTTCCACTCAGTCTCTTGTAATTTTTTTTCTCCCCCCTCCGCAATCTTTGGAAGAGTACCAAAGATTATACTTACAGTTTTATTTGTTAATGTAATGAACCTTCCATGGCAGTAAAAGGTGGACCTATACACTCTGAAAACTGCTGGGCAAAAACAAACAAACAAAAAAAAACATGTTTGGGTAACCAACACAAAGATGCACAGGTTTTCAAAAGCTGCTTTCTTCCATGCATGTTGGCCTTGGTGTGTGGAAATGTACTCCAGTTTTCAGTAACCAGGGAACTTCTCCGGGGTCTTGATCACCCCCACACTCCCATGTTTCAACTGTATTTGTCAGGGTAAAAGCAAATGGTCGGGGCAGAAGTTTAACCCAAAACAGTCAGACGGTGAGAAGTGTCTGTTTTTGTGGAGGGGAAGAGTTTGGTGTTTTGAATTGTTTGTAAGAACATCAGCATAAACCCATTTGGCCAGGACTACAAATGTACACACAAATCATGGTTCGGTATTCCGGTTTTAAAGTCTTGGTATGTTTTCAGTTCCTTTCAATCGAGAGAAACAAACAGAAAGTGGCCGCTGTAAAACTGACTGGATGGGTAGACGACTATGTAAAAATAAAACCGCTTGAAATGGTTCATATTGTCTCCTAAGATTAAAAAAAAAAAGACAGACATTTAAAACATTTTAAAAAAACTGTTGTTATTTTTGGAAGATAGACAATCCAATGTACCAGAGTTACTTGAATGCACCTTAAAAGTGTTGGAAAAGTGTGCTGTCATTCCATTATGCAGCATTTAGGACGGACTGGACGCTGATTGGAGCTGGATTTAGCTCATTTCTCTCCATGACCACTGATGTTCACTTCCACAGCTTTCAAGTGAATAATTCAGTTAAATGTAGTGCCAGTCACAGACCTTTGCGCTGGTGAAAAAATTCATGCACTGATATAAAGTTCCGGTTCAGTTTGATACAAAATTTGAAGGCATAACAACTTGTGAATAGATTTCGAGAAAGCAGTCTGGTTCAATTGGATAGTTTTTTTATTATTATTTGAAACTGACTTATTTTGATTTCTGAATTACAAGTACAAATAAAGTATACGCAACACATTTCAGTGGCGAGTCACAGATCCAGCAGCAGTAGTTATTTATTAGCAATTGACGGTTGTTTACAACATATTGTGTTCATTGAACAAATCTAACCCAAGTCACGGGTTTTCAGAAAACTAAACGGCAAATGCAAACTTTGCAATTTATGATTAACATATGTCCTCTGCAATTATCCTAAGACAAACAAACAAACAACCCGTCCCCCCACACCTTTTTAGAAATGTTCCAGCACGATAAAATGTGGTCGTCATACTTTCACGCAGTCAAGTAAAATTCATGGAAGTACTTTCATACAGCTGAAGAGCATCCTTATTCCGGATCTTAAAGTTACATATGACTGTAATCAGTGGCGTTGCTTGCTGTGGAGGATATGGCACACTGCCCAGGGAGGCATGGCCGTAGGGCCAGCGTAACTATCAAGCCGGAAAAAGGTCTTTTAAATTGTTTATTTGCATGTTCGGTCAATGGGGATTAGGTGATCCGTCTGTTGCCTGATGTGTAAGCACAAAAGGAATAAAATGGTTGTACACTCCAGCTTTAGCTAATGGCTAGTGGCCAGTGCTATGTCAAAGGGTTACTTGACTATTTTTAAGGGAACTTCATTTGTTCATCTTTAGTTTAACATTTAAAATGACCTGGATAACCAGACCTGAACGTAATATTTCTAAACTGGACAGAAATTCTCTATTACTTTTATAAAAACGCAAAGTCGAATATTTTGAATGCTTTTTGTGCACCGAGACCTCAGATTAAAACTAGCATGAAAAGCACAATGGTTAATCATAGACATAATTATTCTACACTGATTACACTTTTCTAAAACTCTTGTGAGTTGTGACACTTTTACTGTATTATCTTTGGTATTTATGTCACAAAAAATATTCCTATGCCGTAAAGAATGGATTTTTCTTTTTGGGAGTGTGTGTGAGTCATGGGGGGCATGAAAGCCTCGCCAAGGGCGCCATTCTGGCCAGAACCACCACTGGGTGCAATCACTACATTATGTAATACGCTGAGGAGATCATTCCCGAGGTATTCTGGAGCAGTCTTCTCTACAAAGCCTCAAACTCGTCCACCCTCTGCTTGGTGTTGCCCAGGCGGATCTGACGGAGGGTTTTGTACTTGTCTCGTCCGGCCCGGACGTTCTCAGCGTGGAGCAGGTCGTTCTGGGTCTTCTTGGTGTCGTGTCTGGATTGCGCCAGATCTGAGCTCAGGTCCTGCGATGAAGAGTCGGGTATGGTGATTAAATCATGGAAAAACACTTCCTGAATCTATTTTTGTCTCATTTGTACAATTGATGGGTAAAGATTTTGTTTGATCTCGCGAGCTACGAGAAAAAGGTTCCTGAAAGATTTACAAATAGCAATCTTTTTTCAGTATTGTGAAAAAAGAGACTAGCTTAGCTAAGAAGTTAGCTTAGTTTACATCTTAACTTAGCTTTCCTTACAACTTAGCTTACAATTTTCAACTTAGCTTATCTCATCTTACAACGTAACTCACATCTTAGCTCATCTTAGTTTTCAACTTAGCTGACATCTTACTACTTAGCTATTCAGGCCGTTGAAATCTGCCTGATGAGCTTAAAGCTGTGTAGAAGCAAAATGTTTGCTTTCTCTTGTTTTTGTTTGTTTCTTTTGTCAGGAAATCTTTAGATTCAAAACCACGGCAGTGCTGCAAACTAAGAAATAAGGGTGCAAGTCGCAATATCCATCCATCCACCATTGACATTTGAAGGCGGGTCAATTTTTAAACCTGCATGGATGCACCTTTCAAACAGCTTCCTCTGCAGCGCTTACAAAACTGCACCCACTAGAAACAAGCGTGCACACTCACACCTCCAGAGAGTTTCAAATCACCATTTAACCTAACATGCGTATTTCGGGACTGTGGGAGGAAACCAGAGGACCTGGCAAAAAAACCCACGCAGACACAGTGAGAACATTCGAACTGCACTTAGAAACACTGTCATGCCTCTTCAGCACTGGGTCGGTTTACTGCAGTTCCTAGTCAAAAGCTTGGTGCATCGATCCGACTTCAACCTTGAGATCACTGGAAGAGTGATGACGATTGTGTACTTTCAGGACTTAACTAATTTGTTTGTCCGGGTGCGCGAATGTAATTCTCGCGCCTCGCGAAGTGAAACGAGCTCCCAACTCGAGGAAGCGCGGTTTGCTTGATCTCGGTCGTGTCCTTGGAACCCGAGCTCACCATCAGCTGCTTCCTGAGGCGCTGGTTCTTCTCCGCCTCGGTGAGTCGCTCCTCCTCCAGGTGGTCCTCGCTGATCTCCTGCGAGTGCAGCTCGGCGCTGTAGGTGCTGTTCTCCTCGCTGTGCTCGTGGTCGCTCTCGCTGTCCGAGGAGGAGGAGGAGGAGGAGGAGGAGGGGGAATGGGAGCCACCCGGAGGAGCCGAGTTGGACGGGGTCCTCACACTCTGCAGCTCTTCCTTCGTCCTCAACAGGCTCTGCTCCACTTCCTCAGCCTGCAGGAACCGTGAGAGGGAAACCACGTCAGCGGAGGACGGCGGAGACGTGACACTCAAACTGAAGCTACGGCTTAATGGATCTGGCAAGCAAAGCTTGGCTTTTATAGGATTAAAAACATGAAAAAATAAATAAATCTGACAATTATTTTCTGTGCATTTGTTCAGTGAAGGGGGGTATCAAGTGTTTTTTTATTTTATTTTATATACCAAGTATTTCTTGTCCAGTTTCATTGCAAATATCTCAGTACACATGAAATAAGACAAAGCTAACTTACAAGAAAGAAACTCCTACATAAAGCAGGAGTTTATTTTAAGGAAATACTTGTTTAATATTGGTGAAAAATTAGCAGTTCCACTGGCAGATTATTTCACTTAAAACATGGGGCAAAATGTCTTGCTATAGGTGACAAAACCAAAGCCAGTCAATATTAAAGATCTATTGACTGGAAAGTAACTCCTGTATTTTGCTGGAAAGTGATTAGTGATTTAAATTGTCTTATTTCAAGTGTAATGAGATATTTGAGCAAAAAATTCTCAACAAGAATGGAATATGAAAAAAAAAGTAATTGCAATTAAAATAAATTCAAATTAAATGCAAATGAAAGATAAGTAGAGCTTGTCTGTATGAATGCCACTAGTGACAGAAAAGGCTTTAAACAACAATGAAAGAAAAAACTAAAAGGGCTTTTATGTTTTTATTTTAAAAGGTTTTAATTCATCAATGAAGCTCTTTGTTTCACGCCAAACCCACCTGGTGTGTTACTAATTCAATTCAATTCAACTCAGAAACATTTTATTGTCCCTGAAGAAAAATGAAATGTTGTTGAAACTCATATTAATTCAAAACATTTTGTAGAACATCCCAACAGCTTTAGGATGCAACGTATTTAGTTGTGATGGAAGGACAACAAAATTAATGATTTTTTTTTCTCTTGTTTAATAGTTATTTTTCTGTCCTATAAGAACAACCCTTTCTAGTTGTTGTTATGGAGACTTTAAGACTTTCCTACAGTTGTTAAACAGTTTTGCTCTGACTAGATGGAGAAAATATGTCGATATGAACATAGAAAAAAAAATTATTTGCTTTACATAAATAAGATGTTCTCTTGTCTTTCTCACTTTAACATGGAATTATTAGATTTCTTTTTTTGCACATATTCACTAATATATACTGAAGTATTTGTAACCAATTACAGAATTTTTGGGGGACTATTTTTTGTTTTGTTTTTTTTTAACTGTTTTCCCAGAGGCAAAGAATTGAGAATGTCTCACAGATCACAGAGGGAGGACAGTGTTTGATTGGGGCCTTTCTTGACCTCCTGGTCGTCTTGCCTTGACGGCCGGTGAGAGCGCTCACCTTCATGTGCCATGTCTCAGCTTCCTCCTCCTTGGCCCTCTTGGCCTCCTCCAGCTCAGTGATCCTGGCCGTGTACTCGGCCAGCTCTGCAGCCTGAAGCGGGAACAGTGCGAAGCGACTTCAAGTCAGGCAATTTAAAAGAAAAACAAACACATGCACCTAAAGAAGTAAAAATAATACAACACTTTCGTTGGTGTGGAGCTTCACCCTAAATCCTCAGGTTGGACTTGAGCAGAAGCTGAAGCTGAACCACCTGACGTGCGTTCGTACTTCCATCGGGATTGGTTAACTTATGCGCTGCACACTCACCAGCTGCTCCTGGCTCTTCATCTGCTCCTCGGCTTGCCTGGCCAGCTCCTCCTTGGCAATTATGGCCTCCATCCTCTCAGCCTCCAGCCGGGCCGCCTCCTGCTCCACCCTCCTCCTCTCCTCCTCCAGCCTCATGGCCCGGTCCAGCTGCTCCTGAAGATCTGCGGGGCCAGGCAGGAAAATCTATTAGGCACCACACGTCGGTAAGGCGCTTCGGGAAGGTCTTTTTTTTCTTCTTCCTTTTCTTCTAAATATGCATTTCTGTTGATGTGGATTTCAGCGTCTGAGATCATGTGAATATCTGAGCTGACGGTCTGAGTCAGTCAAACGGAGGGACAGCAGAGGGCAGTAAAATCAATTTTGCGTGGCGACATTAAGAGAGAGAGAGAAACAAAAAAAGTGTCAGTCCGTAGGCTGAATCTGAGGGTTCTTTTTTTTTTGTCTTTTCTTCTTGGGAACATTTTCTGAGCCCGGTTTGTATTTAGACAGCTTGCGTGTGACGTGGTGCGCCCCACCTCGCTCCGCTCTCTTAGTAGTCTCTTCAAACTCGTAGAGCTTCATCATCAGCTCCTGTTTTTCTCTCTCCATCTGCTGCTTCTCCCTCTCAATGTTTTCTCTCTTCTTCTTCTCGCTTTCCAGCTGATCCCTGCAGGAAACACACACACACACAAAGCAAAAAAAAAATAAGAAGAGAAAAAAGAAAAAGTCAAGATCACAGACATTAATTACCTACATCCTAGGAGGCGTCTTATAAAAATATTCATATCCGCTTTAACTTTTTCATAACTTGTCTCTAATTTACGGTTAAATACCGGCAGCTTGATTGCCAGAATTTTACCATAAATCGGATTTATGGTAAAAATGTCACTAAAAAGAAGAAATTTTGTATAATAACTGATTCATTAATTAGGTATAAATATGTCTATTAGCACTTTTAAGCTTTGTAATTTTTGTCTACTTTTTTTCTTGGGCGTTGGGTTTTTCTGTTGTTTATTTATTCCAAGTCCCCTTTTTGCCCCCATATTTATCACCAACCAAACATATTTGAAACATGTTTTTCCCATAAAAGTAAATTTATGTCCAAGTGACTTTACTGCAGTTTTATTTCTTAAACTGATATCATTTTCTCCCTTTATAATATTTCTGTTTTTCCTTCTTTTTTTTTTTACCTAAAAGAGATTTCCTGACATCATTTATTCCCATTTTTTCTCCTTGTTTTTATATTGAGAAAAAATAAAATAAAAAAACAAAGCATACAAAATCAAGCTCTGCGGCTACGTTCTCCAGGCTAGTCTTTGGCTACTATGCAAGAATTCGAGGAGGTGATGCTGTTCTCCCTTCTGTTTTTGGCATTTTCGGATGCATCTCTTATTTTGTTGCTTTTAATGGCACGTGAATTTTCTTGTCAAGCCGCTGTTTTGGCTCTGCAATTACTTTAATGAGGCACTTATACATTTCTGTATTTATTCAGAATTGTGGCAGGGTTGGTCCTCCGTAAGCAATCGGGCCGAATGTGAAAAAGTGGCTCTCGTCTACCTCTCCAGTTTCTTCTGGAGCCTGTCCTGTTTGGCCTGAGCCTTCATCTGCTGAACCTCGATGTTGTCGGCCATGCGGCGGCGCGCGTACAGGCGGTGGTTGCCCTGAGCAAGCTGCATGATGCCCTTGTGGATGCGAGCTGGTGTCCCGTGAAACATGATGTGCTTCAAGAGGAATGAAAAAAGCAAACTTTATACAGGTCAAAAAAGTTTCCTTCCTTCCTACTCCCCCTCCCCCATCTAATGTTTCAGTATTTAGAATGTGAAGACGCTTTTGATTACTTGTTGAAATACTCACTGGAGATCTTTTGTCTATGGGCTTGATGACAAATCTCTTGTTGTCAAAAGAAAGGTTTCCAATTTCATTCCAGGGAAATCCAATTTTTGGGGTGAGCCTGGAATATATAAAAAAAAACAACAAAAAAAAAACGTTCGGCAGAGAAATAGGTCAATGTACTCTTACAGTCAACATGAGCAGAGGTCATAATAATAATAAGGCTTATAGTATAACCCTGAGCTTTTGAACTGAACAATGATAATACACATTAAAAAAAATGCTGAATGAAGCAGCAAAAAAGAATATCAATAAAGACATTTGCAATAAAGTCCTAAACTGTGGGTTTTACCTGTCATTCTTTGGATAGATGTTTATCCCTAGCGAGTCCACGCCCAGCCACAGCTCCGTGCCCTTCTTGTTTCTGATCTCAAAGTAGGTAACACTGTACATTTCCAGATCCTGAGCGATCTTCAGGTACTCGATCATCGCATCTTCCCTGTTTGGAGTCACAAAAACGTTCGTTCAGAGACATTTTTTACTGTGAGACGTTAGATATTGACACGTTTTCCCACTGAATGGCGAAAAGGACGATCTAAACTGGAAATAATCCCAGATTTTCCTCATCTCTTCCTGAGCTTTTGCGTCGTTTTCCACTAAGAGCCCCGGCATATTCATTCATTCATTCAATACAGAATTGAATGCATGACACAGACTACATGCAATTTAGTACTATGTTCCATATGCTAGAATTAAATAAGAAAAGTAGAGTCCAAGCGCACAAAGTCAGATTTTCTCAAGTTTATTTCATACATTTAATAACTGAATATTAAAACAATGTGGGTTTAATTGTGAGAGAACAAAGCACATTGTGCTGAACATCCTCCAAAATTTGATAAAGTATGTGTAGTTTTTTGATACTGTGTGTCTATTGGGATGACGGGTGTGGAACTCACAGTTTAGCTGCATCACTTACTTTTGATGCCACATTACGATTATATTTGATTTATTTATTACAAATTTAAGGATAGAATGTTCTCTTAGCGATGAACGTTATTATTGTCCATTTCTAAAACTCTTTTTAAAACACATTTTTATTCTTTGACTTAGCTGATTAGCTCAGTCTCATTTGTTAGCAAAGCAAGCTAACAACAATGTGCCTCTAAATAATGTAGCAACAAGCACATAAACAGGATTTGTGTAGTTCTCTGTGTGAGAAACAAACTGGCAGAATTGAAACTAATGTTGTCCCCTCTTGTGAATGACAATGTTTAGCATGAAGGCAGCCATATTGGATTTTGGTTGGGAGTGTTGGAGAAACACCAATTCCTGACCTGGTGTTTCTAATTCAGCTTCCTGTTGAATTCCAAAAATGTATAATTTGAAAATGTCAAATTTCTTCAAAGTCATGCAGTTCGTGTCAGATTTCTTTTTCTCCCTCTCTCTCTCTTTTTTTTTTTTTTTGACTCATGGAAGGTCAAAATGTTTGAAACTTTATTTTGAACATGTTTTTATTTGTTTTGCAGTAACATACAAGCGTCCCTCGGTCTTCACTCACTTCAGCATGGCTTTGTGCTCCTCGTGCCAGACCTGCACTCTGTCTTCCCACTGCTCCTTCGACAGCTTGTGTTGATCCAGCACTCTAAGAGAAGAGACAGGCTGTCAGAGAGTCGCGCGGCTCAAAGCGGGATCTCTCCGCGTGCGCACACAGAGCTACGGTGAACACACGCTGCAGGCTCCGGAGGCCCGTTCCTTTTTTTGTTGTTGTCATGTCTTAAATTAGCAACAGTGCCTGGTGATCGGCGAGCATGATTTCGGAGCATATGTGGAAAAACAAACAAACAAATACATGTCTCCGAAGGGAACATTGACATTTAACAAAGTCCAAGTTTGACATGTTTCTCTATCGTTGAGGAATCTAAAACTGCATCAAAATCTAAGTGGCATGATGCAATGTTGTAATATTAACCGCTTTCCTGTTTTACTGTAAACACTGTCATGTAACACATAAAAAGGTGTTGTTGGTTTTTTTTTTTTTGATGAATTAAGCAGCAGAGTTTTTTGGCCTTGTGCAAGTATCTCAGTGCACTTGCAATGCTATACTGTACTAATGCTCAAGTTTCTAATATCAGCAAAAAAACAAATACAAGTTAAAAGTGATGAGAGTAAAGGTTGGCTGGAAAGGATAATTATCACTTACTTTAATAGGACCTTGAAATTTTACAGCTTATTATGACACGGAGTGACATAAAGCAATAAACATGTTAAGATAATTTTTTTTTTTGCCAGGTTGCAATACACCAAACTGAGGAACGTGAGTTTGGAAGAACCCAACACATCGATAGATAAGGGTCCTATTTCAAGCTCATCTGATAGTATTTGTTGTTGTTTTTTTCTTCTGTTTTTTAAATTTAAATTGTTTATATGACACGAATACATAGGAGACATTAACTTTATAATAGGAAGTTTCAGACCCAATCCTTAAGTCTGAATCTGCATTTAGCTAAACATGGACATATTTGGTGTCCATGGAAATGTTAGATTGTTGGCTGGATGATTAAAAAGCATTCAAGCTGAGCAGGAAGCATCTGTGCACAAAGTCTGCAGGATAGACATCAGTAACCAGGAACTTTTATCAAAATGACATTGTATGGAGCTCAGGGAGTGCCAAAAAAGCACATATTTTGTGTTTTGGTGTTATTTTATTTTATTTTTTTGTATATGTCCCTACGTTTTTTAATCTTTCTTAGTGTTTTGACACCAGATTTCCAAAACAAAAACTTCACGTTGGCTTTATTTTGAAACAAAGACTATTGAAATAGTCTTTTAAACAGACCCAAATCTGTTTAAAAGAACAGATTTGGGTCTGTTCTTTTAAACGCATCAGGAAGAGCGTGTCTCTGAACAGCGCCTCGCAGCATTCCCCACAGTTTGAGCTCACCTCTTCGGGAGCAGACGCTCCGAGGAGAGGTATCCCCGCCGGTGCACCGACTTGTCGTACTCGCCGTACTTTGCCTGCACGGCGTAGGAGGCCAGAAGCACAGCGGTCTCCGGGGGACAGTAGATCTCGTCGGACAGGATGTGGTCCTTCACCTGCAGGAAGAAGAGCTTCCTGGTGACGTCCTGGATCAGCTCCTCTTCCACGTCCTCGGGGTAGTACTGGACCCGGAATCTGAACTGCAGGGGAGTCTCGTTCTTTATGTTCTGTTCCGTCACCTGCACGGACAGCGAGGTCGTGGAGGTCAAAATGGGCACAGGAAAGAGGGGATGCGCATGAATGAATAAAAAAAGAAGCATCAAGTAGACTTTGGTTGATATACAGCTGGACACAAAAGAGGAATTCAAGAATCAACTTTATATGGCATTGAAACAAAGTAAAACGGTGCGTCGCAGTGAAGAATGCAAACATCAACTCGCGTATTCGCATGCGCTCTCTTATTTTAAACAATCGAAAGACAAAAAACAATTGTCAAATAAAAATAAAAAGTTCAAACCGGCCCGATATTGCAGCACTGAAAAACTCTGACAGAGCAAAACCCACTTTCTTGTCTTCTACCAGCCACGAGACAATTCCTTTGTTGTCCACATACTGAAGGCCGAAGTACCAAATCTCACGGAGGCCAATCGTCCTGGCAACCTGACGGCACCACACAAAACACACAAGAAGAAGAAGAAGAAGCATGAGGACTTTTCGCTGCCGCCCATTAGAGAGGCAGCTAAAACAGGCACATTAAAAGCAGCAGCTGAAACATTGCGATTTTCCTCACGGTGATTTACTCGCTCTTCAAAACAAAGGATCAAACTCCAACCATCAGTTGATTTTCCTTCTCTTGGCTTAAGAAAACGTTGCCACCACACAACTAAAACACAAAATCTTACCGAGTATTTTTGTCTAAACTGTAGAGCACATATCTCTGTGCACTTGAATTAAGAATAAGATAACTGGAATAGAACAAAGACACAGGAGATCGTTTTAAGTCAATAATTAAAATATAAGTCAATAAGTCAAATATAATCAGTTTAAATATTGATTGAAATGGAAAAAGCACTGGCTCCACTGGCAGATTATTTCACTCATAACAAGACACTGAAGTTACCTGCCTGTGGAATTAGCAGTTTTTGTATCGACATTAAAAGAACTGTTGATGTAAAAAGAAAATGAAAAGCTCATTTATCTGGCTTGAAAATCTACTTTTAAGTTATTTCGGTCTGAAATCAAGTGCGTCAAAATATTTGCACCAGAAACTATTCAGAGTTTCTTAGTAAGATTTTGTGTTCTTGCACACTGGGTTTGGGGTCCGGGGGTACAGTTTTCCACCACAGTTGTAACATCAAAAGTTCAATTTCAGCTTCATGATGCGATGCTGATTGGAGTTTTTATGGCCTTTCTGTCCACAGTAGATTTCCTCTTATCACATTTCTATAAAGAGAGAAGAGATTCTGCAGATCTTCCAGAATCACGATCACTTTGAGGTGGGCTTTGCTTTTGCTTTGCGCAAGTAAAAATAACCTTTCGGTAAAACGTCGTTGCCGTTGGACGTGTGCTTTGCCGACTGCAGCATACAGACCTGCTCAAGCAGCTGCCTTCCTTTGGTGCTTTTGTTAAAGGAAAACTCCAGCTCTGCGTCCATGGTAGTGACGCGAACGTTGACCTGCGGTGCAAAAAGGGCAATTTACTGATTACATTCACGTTGAAAAAAAAAAAAAAGAAGTTACACAAATAAAAACTTTCTCTCTGGACAGGATTCACCTGTCTTCTTTCCAGTCGTTTCTTTATTTCCATTCTTTAAATCAGAAATGTTTCTACATCCGCCCAAATTCTGTGTTTGGCTGCGTTCACGTCCACAAATGGAGGACATAAATAACGGGCTGTTTTGCTGAAAGCGCACCCTCAATGTGGATCTGTCAACCGGATTATTCATAAACCATAATTGCTCACTATCTCATTAGACTTTAGACCAGCTATGCGAGCACGAGGTTGGATATCATTGCACTTGCCTCTTGCACAAAGGCGTTGCGAGATGTGCCGGCGTTGCAGCAAACAGCATTGAAACTGAGTTTGCATAAGAATTGATTTCCGCAAATTGGATAAAAAAAGATTCAGTTTTAATTCATATCAACTGGTTATTAAAAAAAAAAAAAAACACAGTACAAAACCATTGATTGGGATGGGCTTTGTAGCAGATACACAACAGTTTTAATGAAGTCATACCAGGACAAACCCTGACTGTCATAAAGATAAACATACTAAAGGTTGGGCAGGAACCAATGGAACATCAAATTATGGAACCATCACTAGCTTTTTTTTTAAATTGTTTCCACCTTATGTGATCACATGTATGAGATAACATCTTTATTTGGTGTTTTCGTAATGCTTTTGACGTTCAAGCAAACACGGGCCGGGATTTTAAAATCGTGCAATTTGACGGTGATCACACAAACCCTTGCAGAAAAAAATCAAGACAAAACATTTGTGTTTACATGGAAACATATGTTGAATGAGCCATGTATGATGACAAAAAGCACAAGTGAATATACATCAATCACAACAGTATGATACAATTGGCAAAAAGAAAAATTATGCTAAAGAAAATCCTTATACCCTCAAATTAGAATTATGAAGTTTTGGTCAATTTCCACTTCCCTTACAAATGGACGCAAATCTTTGTCTGTCTTGCTGCTGTCGAAAAAATTGAATTTTCATTACGCAGGAAATTAAAATCCCGCGTGAATACACTTGTTCATGCGACGGGACATTAAAAATCATGGCAGCGTGTGAGCATTCTCCAAATGCTCGTTTTTTGGGGAAATTGTGGTTGACGATTTTACAGAGCAGCGATGGATTCAAGTTAAAATGGCAGGTTTCAGTGAACGACTTCCTGCCATCTTCTTTGTCGCCGCAGACTCAGCGGAAACGACAATAGCTTAACAGCAGGGCAGCTCTGGTAATTGTTAACAGTTCGAGTTCAGCTGACTGTTCAGCTTCAGACTTGTTGCTTTTAGAAAAATGTGGCCGTGTTCCTTAAGGCTGCTGTTTCATTTTATTACTTTGCGTTCTTCTTGTGACGACCTCAAGCAGGATGGTGTTTACAGGCGGATAAGTTGCTCAACTGTCTGGCTCTGCTCTGCTCACTCGTTCCCATGCACTCGCTCTTTCAGGCTGAATACAGAAGGGATTCCATGGAAATGAGACGGGGACGGCTCCTTTATTTACCATCCCTCTCTCCCCGGCAGTTTCAGGCTGAAGAAGCTGATCCGGAGTGAAGCGAAGGCTCCAAACTTTGCTTTAACTGGTTAGCGATGAATATTTACTTTTCTTAATTCAGAATCGTTTGGAAATCCATGAAAACTTAAAGGCTCATTATATCAGGAAGACAACAATGTTCATAGTATTGCTTTATTTGCTTCTGAAATACGACTTGCCATGGTAACTCAAAGCGGAAGAAAGAAAGCCGCATTTCGCTCATGCGGATGTGACATCAGCATCAGTACGCGCAAAGAGCCACTTTGCAAAAAAATTTATGCAGTTTCGCTTTACGTGTAATTTTGCTCATTGATTACTTAAATCAAGTCAAGTAATGAAATATGTTGTCAGCATTTTGTGTTCATCAAGGCCTTGCAGTGTCAACACAAAGACATAGCTGCTGTTGTAAAGTGTGGCTTGGCCCGCCTTATTAGTCTCACGCTGAACGCTTGAGTAACTTTTACTTGAAGACTTTGAGACTCATGAATCGTTAAACTCTGTTGTTTCAGTTTGATCGATCATTTCGGACACATTTTGACGATATCGGAACCACACTGTCAAGAATTGCTGCTGGATGAGATTCTGTTCTTGTTTTGTTTGTTTGTTTGCTCGATTTAGTTTTTATTATTTTCTTCATGAATGGAAACAAGGACACAATCAACAGTCTGACAGTCAGCCCTATATCAATCCAAAGAAGATTAGAAGAGGATGCTTTTGGCATTAAGTTTCTGTTTAGTTTAAATAAAAATGTATCTTCTGGCATATTGCTTCCTGTTTAATAAAAATGTCCATCTTCAAAGAAAAGGTGCATCTTTTTTCCGTTCTGGCAATAACCAAGGTCCACGCCTTTGTTTTTCTACCATCCATTTTTCATTATTGTTTTTTTTTTTTTGCTCAACGCCAGAAGAAAGTGGCGAATGTCATTATTGACTTGAAGAAGCACAATTCACTAGTTGTTTTTTTGTTTGTTTTGTTCCTTTTTTATTATCATTATGTGCATGACCACGTATCTCACAGACGGATTCATTGAGTTCAAGTAACACTTGGAGGGTAATCCAGTGTGAGGAATGTGTGCAGCGTGGGTCAAACTCTACATTTGGTTAATGAGTAAATGACAATAAGGATCACTGGCTCTTGATAAAACTTACAACTGAAAGAAGCAAAGAAAATGTCGCCAGCGCAAAAAAAAAAGAAGCCATGGACAATTCCACAATTCCAGCTTGTTTTTGTTCTTATACGGGTCATCATAAATGATTTATTGAAGCGTTACGAGCAGGGTTTAGTCTACAGAACCTCACCGTGCCGTTTTCAAACCTGGAAGAAGACATGCGGCTATAGCAATAAGTAAAAATGTATCTTAAAACAGCAGGAATCCTACCAGTTTGGACATCTTGGCTTTGGTCTGTGGCTCCTATCAGAGGAAAGTGTATCCCAGGCTGACCGAGGCTGCAGTGGCCAACTCCCAGTAGAACCTCCACCTGATAAAGACAGCCTCTGGCTGGCAAACCCCGGGGCAAGACTCGTGTCCTTTGAACTCAGGAGATAGCTCGCGGAGACGTGGGAGGACCGACTTTGACACCAAGCCGACAGATTGACCTCCGGTGTGACAGAAAGCGTGGGGGTTGGGGGAGCCGCACAACTCCACCCAAAGGAGATCACCTGTTTCAGCGCCTAAAACCTCCGTGTGACCTTTGATCGGAGAGCGCCGGGCTACAAAACCACTGGCCGTGCTATTTCTGTAGCTTGTTTGAAGATGACATGAGTCATGAAGGAATAACAGCAGGAGCGGGATTTGATATGCGGAGGGTTTTCGGTGTATTGTCACCGAGCTGCTCAACCGAATCTGTTACCAAAAGTTATTTCTTTCTAAAAAGCTCAAAGCTGCAGTGTGTAACTGAAAAATATTTTTACACATTTGTTGAAACTGTCACCATGTTGTGATAGTATGACACGGATAATCTGTGGGGGAAAAAAAAAATTAATCTCCTCCACTTCCTCTTTTAGCTACTATTGATGTCTGAACAAATGCACCGCTCCCGGTCAAAAGCAACCAATCAGAGTCAGGAGGAGTGTCTTAGCGCTGTCAATCACTCTCGTGAGCGTTAAATGTGCTAATAGCATAGAAACAACGCACCGTTACTGGAAAAAACAACGTTTATCCCGTGGTCATCGGTAGCTGTGCTAACTAACCTCAGCATTGACAACCAGTTCTGCTAGCAGGGAGCAGCTGCATCACAGGAAAGAGCAATGTGGGGGGAGCGGAGTGGTGTGTGAGGCGGAGCAGGTGGAACACCTGGTCGCCGATGGGAAGCTTCAGGAAGCTCTTTCGGCCCGACTTCAAATTCTGCAAAAAAATAAAAATAAAATAAAATCCTCATGAAACACTGTTCAACTTACATAGGGAATTGAAAACCCGGTTAGTCCGTTAACTACGACTGAAACTTTGAGAGTAATTAAAGAAATTTTCCCAGAATAAATAAGATTTCGGAGTAGGTTGGAAGGAAAAGAAACTCCAAATTGTTTGGATTGATATCAGAAAATGTTCAGAAAAATCCCCCCAGAAATTTTGAGACTTTTCTTAGAAATTTTTGTTTAAAAAATCTTTTGAAAATCAGAACATTTGATAGAAACACTTTGTAATTTTTTTTGGGGGGGGAGGCAAAACCCCCCCAAAAAACATGGAGATTTCTGAATGGACATTTTTTCCCCCACATTTTCTGGAGTCTCAAAAGCTTTTTTGAGACAATAATCTCAAAATTTCTGCGTACTTCTGCCAGAAAATATTTTGACTTTCGAAACGTGGAAACTTTCTTGTTTCCTAGAAAATTTCTGAGACTGATTTCAAATTTCCTGAATTTTTTGATGAAAATTTACTCCTTTTTTTTTCCTAATATGATGTCACAGTTGACACATCACACAGATCACAGGAACCGCTATGTACTTACCGTTCCCTGTCATAGATTTGTCTTATGTCAGCCCACAGAAATCGACTCGAAGGGGTCAATCTGGAAAAATACATATTTTTAAGATAACTAAGTGAAACAAGCAAATGCTTTGTGAGAACAGCAACATTTGGAGACGTTGAATCCTTGCCATAGCGACACGAAGACGAATGTGTCGATGGCTGTTTGGAACAAGTGTGGTCAAAGGTGCAACTCAAACGGAAAGGGCAACCGAGGTCAATGACTGAGGTTTCAATGCTGGTTCGTTGACCTCATGTCCACAGCTGCATGTAAAGGTGTGCGGATGCTATTAATATGTTCAGCCAGTGGTGTTACAATCATAATGTAGCTTTTGCACAGCAGAACCTAAAGAAATGAGCCAGCTAAATGTCGATTTGGACACCAACCGCATCCACAGTTCTGCTTTCTTCTTGTCCTTCATCTTGAAGTAAGAAACACTGAACATGTCCAGCGTTTGCGCGACCTTTAGGTCACAGCCTCTTTCCTGTTTTAGTGAGAGGCATATTTATAATTTACTCTATATAAAAATAATAATAATAATAATGATAATAAAAAGTATTACAGATGATTATGTTCTTGAATGATAGAAGAGAATGACTCAATTCAGTTTGGTCGGCTTCCTTAGAAAACATTTGAAACTAATTTGAATAATAAACTGAGCTGCTGCGCTGTTTGACAACTAGGATCAATAGAAATGTATAAGTGGCTGAACTGAAATGACTTTTTTGTGTGTCTTGAGACATTTGTTGTGAATTGGCGTTCTAGAAATAAACTGGATTGAACTAAAATCGAGTTGAGGTTTTGAAAAATATTGCTAAAAATCAAATCAATCAATAAATAGAAGTGAAATCAAAGACCCACAAATTTTCCGAAAACCCACTGGAACCCAACATGAAGCACAGCAACTTTGACAACAAACCAATTAGAATGATAAGATAGGGAACCCCTGCTGGGCCCCACTGATCGAAATGATTCAAAAGCACCTGCAGGTGTTTTCTTGTCACTTCAGATATCAAGCTACTTATTAAGTCTGTCAATGTTTCGGTGAATTATCAGGTGTGACGCGCTGCAGGTAGTTACTCACTGGTTGCTCTGCTCATAGTTTTCTGCGCAAAAGTCCCAAGATCTTGGCCGTATCTGGAGGGCAGCAGACATTTCCAGAGAGAATCTCCTCCTTCACCTGCAGGAAGAAGAGCCTCCAGGTGACGTCTTGGATCAGCTCCCTCTCTGTGTCCTCTGGGTAAAGCTGAACCCGAGCTCGAGCTGCAGGGGACTCCAGACTCTTTACATCCCGAGCCAACACCTGCGCAGAAGATTAAAAGCGCAGATTAAAGATTTAACCATGCAGTGGAGATGAGATATAATGATAACAATGAAAAAAGACAGCAGAAATATTGAGTAGCATGCTGATCAGAAACGGTGGATTGAGCTACAATCCACCGGCCATCAAGCCAGACTGGAATCTAATCCAGGTTCTAATCTGAGGCAAGTCGGGAAGTAATTTAAAACCAAAATCAACTGTTTTTAAAACACAGTAGAAAGCTTGTAGACACGCTGGTTGTATTTGGACCTGATGCTTTTTATTCAGGGGGAACAGAAAACAGATCGACTCCACACCTGTCAGATTTTTGTGTAGAAAATGTTTAGGAAAACTTGTTCCATATTCCTTTCACTTCTCTTTCACACAAAAAGCCAGTAAGATCATATTGACTTTACTTCCTGCTTCCTTTCAAATAATAAAAAGTTGAAATATACTTCTAGAGATTTCAAGCCAACTCTGCCGCATTCTTTTAACGCGTCTTTAGCCACGCATACATATTTTAGCCTTTAAAAAACTGCATTAGAAAACATATTTTATGTCTTTTATGTCACCATAAAGAACTTTGACATTTTTTGGAGGCTGGGTGACTTGATGGGCTTTTCAGTGTGTCTGCTTTAAATGCAAACCTGACAGTGGAGCTAAAACGGGAAATAAAACATTTCCATCCCCGTTTTTGGTCGGAGGTTTTTCTTCCATACAGCTGAACATTCCTGGCCTCTATTTGCTACATCATCCAAAGTATTGTTGCTTTTACACAGCAGTAATAAATCCCGAGTTGAATGGAGGGAGGAAAATAACCCAGCATCTGTCTGTAAAATACAAATACTTGACAATAGCGACATCTCTTTTTTTTTATTACACATGATTTATTGCTTTTCTAATGCTGTTTTTAAAATGTATTAATCTTGAACATTTGTGTTCTGTAACTTCTGCTTGTTTTTGCACCACAAGACTCTTATTTATCATTTTAATATAGAGTTAAGGAGTGGGATTTGTGAAACACATTTAATTCACCATAAAACGTTCAAACCCGTTTTAGGAGTTTGTTCCCTTGAGTTTTGGATCGGATGGAAAACTCCTGCGCTCCATCCAACCAGGAGACATGAACCATTTTCTGCAGCAATAATTACTAAAAAAAAACAACATAAGGTTTTATGAACAATAAACTCCAAAGTTTTTAGTCCTTCATATCCAAGTTGATTATTTGATAAATTAGAATATTTGTTCCGATGGGCCACGTTCGTCTGGTCGAAAGTATTTAAGCAGGTATTAAATATACTTTTCAGAAAAATCAAGCAGACCAAAACAAATAGCAAAAAAGTCTCAGAGGGAATAAAAACCTGTTGACATGACAGGCAGAGTGTGAACAGTGACGTGAGGAGCTGAGGGACTCACCTCCGCTGCGAGGGCCTGGACACACAGCTCCACCCAAAGACAATCCCCCCGTCTCAGCAGCTGTATCGCTGTGACCTTTGATCAGAGAAGGTTACGGAAAGTGGATGTGCTTCTTATATTTCGCCACATCTCAGACGTGGGACCTATAAGCTCTGCTGGGAAACGGATGAATTCTGTTCCTGTGAGCAGGGAGAAAGCTGCGGCAGCACACGCAGCAGTTAAAAACAATGGATGTTTTCTGCACGTCTCAGATCGAGTTGAATAAAAGAACGTAAGGCACAGCGCAAACTATTTCTGATCTAAAAACTAGGTTTCCGCAGTCATCTTAATGTCACGAAGAAACCACAAACATCAAGCTGATCTTACTCAAAACCCACACAAAGGAATGCAAAAAAATAATAAATTCTTCTAGCCATCGAGGAGCCATGTTGTGATGACTTGCTGAAGGTGGAGGCCCAGTTACAAGGTTAAATGACAAAGTCAAATTTCTTTTAAGTAATATTTCATATATATTTACTTGACTGCGCTATAAAATAATACTATCTGGCTGAAAAACACGTCAAACTTCCCCTTTAAAAGCAATTTAAGAAACTAAGCAATTTAAATGAGCTGCTTCACTTTTAACAAGAACAGTGATCAAATATCTGTTGAAATGACTTTGGTGGTTTCAGGTTGTTTTTTTTAAAGGGTGGTGCAAATGCAAACAGAAAAGAATGCAGACAGAGTCGGGAAGTACAGTAGGTTGTTTATTTCACATTTTTGAAATGAACATTTTCTATGAATATTGGTATTTTCAGCAACACTAATAAAATCTCTCTTTAAGGCAGGAGTCTCAAACACCAGAGCTCGTTCTCGAGGTCGCTCTGCAGCTTTTAGATGTGCCATAGGTACAAAACACTGGAATGAAATGGATTAATTACCTTCTCCTGGTGTAGATCAGTTCTCCAAAGCCTTGCTAATGACTTAAATATTCTATTCAGGTGTGGTGCAGCAGAGACGCGTCTAAAAGTTGCAGGGCAGGGACCTTCCAGGTCTGGACTTTTATACCTGCACTTTCAGGCAACAAGTAGGGTAAAACTAGATGACTCAAGAAATTTGTCAAAAACAGAGAAGACAAATAACCCACAGGGAACACAACAAGTAAGAATAATGGGAACGAATCTTACATAATCATCGGAACACTTTTTGACCAGAGTAGAAAAACAAAAACCTGAGATGACGTTAAAATTCATCTCTGGTTGGAAAGTGAGGCTGGTCTTCTGGTTTGAAGTCTTTGTTGGGGCTTCCGTCCGCGTTGAGGAGACGCGCTGCGGTGTAACCCACGATGGGATACTTAGCTTTGTACGTCCCTTCAAACACGCTGTCCAAAGACTGGAGCTGCTCCTCCGTGAGTCCTGTCTGTACACGGAAAGATAAAAAGAAAAATACATTTTTATAGTGCTTTGCAAAACTATTCATACTAGTTTGAACGTTTTTTGTTGTCGCCTTGTTTTTACTTTTGATCACATCTCAACCTCAAACTTCATTGAATTTCATTTGTACCTTTGTGAAAGACCGATAAAACGTGTCGCTTGTCCGTGAAAGGAAGTGGAATGAATAGCAATATTAATACATCGATTTCAATTTTTGCAAACAAAAAAAATATCTGAAAAGTGTGGTGTGCATTTCTACTCATGGTATTTACTCTGATACCCACGTCATCCTGAACATCAACCACGCATGGTGGTGGTAGCATGATGCTGTGGGGACGCCTTTCCACCAGCGGTGCTACAACGCATCGATCGATACTGATTAATGATTGACGATCCAATTACACAGATGCAAAATGTAAATATTGATCCATATCGTCAAGTTTAAGATGCATTTGTTTTGAAATTTTCAAATGTTTATTTCAATGCCTGATGCCTCAAAGCGCTTCGAAAGAAAATGGTCCAATGATATTTTAGTTGGTTTTTGTAATAATCTTGAGGCAAATGCTTCAGTTAGATTAGCAAATCATAATTTATCATATTGTGAACTGAAAAGGTTTGACCCAAATCACACAAAAGGTAATGCTACCAAAACTCCAATTTGAAGACATCCATAAACAAATTTCTGACATGTTCTTCCTCTCATTATTGTGGCATTTAGCAAATAGAGATAACTAGCAATTCTAACTGGCCTGACACAGGAGAGGTTTGGCCTGATTTAACGTTAGGTGTGTGTGAGTCTTTTCACTAGGCGTGTGTAAGCTTCTGGTTTCCGCTGCGTGTCGGCTCCGCGGAGCGCCGACCTTCACCTGGTAACGACTGATGAGGACAAACATGAGGGTCGTCTTCGCTCCAGAGGAATCTGAATCCGATGAGTTACAGGACGATGATGAGGTTCTGGTGACAACAGCAGGAAGTTTGGTTGTGTGCACTTTGTGAAGCCAAAGTGATGAACAATACCAACTGTCTTCTTGACAATACCTGTGATTGATCACCTGTGAGTAAATTTTATCAGCCACACCCAGACCTAATTACTGCCTTACTTATAGAATAGAAAAATTGTTTCATTGCTTTGACACAAAAAAAAAAAAAAGATTTCTGAAATTTTGGGGAAAATATTCTGAGGATTAATAAGACACAACAGGTAGAAAACTGGCACACTTAAGAGGAAAAATAAACATCACGCTGATGGCTGAGCATGGCGGTGGTAGTGTGATGATGAGGGGCTGCTTCGCTTCTTTGGAAACTGGACCACTTGATGTAAACGACGGAACCATGAATTCTGTCGTCAAAGTGACGGTTTTTCTGTGTCCTAGTCAAAGCACGCACTTATATTCAAATGTGGTAAAATTATGCCTAAAACCATTAAACGTAGCTGAGATAAAATCATTTCTGAATCGCAAAGAGGAACAAGAATGACATTACTATTTGAAGACTGTTCACATTTTACGAAAGATTTTTTCTTTTTTTTTTGTCTGATATCAAAAAATGCTTGGGGCAGATATGATCATGTGAAAGCAAGAGTTCAGGATGGTGTGTGTAACGAGTTTCAGTCTGGTCCGATCTGTTAAGATTTAGTGGTCACTGCTCTTTAAAAATGAAAAGCCCCTTTGTGAAAAATAGACCGTTTCAAAACCCCATAATATGATGGAGTGGTGCGTTCATGTGAACCGAAAGAAGATGAAAATGCAGATTTGTTGTCAAAACAAAAGAACGATTGGGTGTCCTTCTGTGTGTGGACAAATATCGGCCTGAAAACGGTTCGGACAATGAAGAGGGTGGCACCTCCGGGCCTTTTATGGTACTCACGGTGTCAGATGTCAGGTCTGCTGGGTTCAGGGACATCTTGGCCACAGCTCGGGTGGAGTCCTTCCCAACGAGAGCGTTATATGAAGCATCTTTACCATAAAACTCTGCAACGAACGAGCCAAACAAACAAACGACGCATTATTCACAGTAAATATTGTCATGTGGGTTGACAGAAAACTGGTCTGGGTTAAACTTTTAGAAGTTCTTTTCTTTCAGCGTGCTCCACTCTTTGAAAAAATACCTTTTCCTTTGGAGACATCAAACACAACACCCTTTATTGCCATGTAAATGGGCTGGCCTTCCTGAAACAGGCAGGAGACACAGAGACAGCGAGTTATTCCTTATCACTACTGAACTGAGCGCCCATAAACACACACTCATATACCGAGGAGTTACCTGGCTGCCGTCGTATCTCTGGAGCTCTTCCTCAGTGAAAAGTCGCACAGGTTTTGAGTCTGGTTTGTGACTTAGCTGAACCTCTTCGGCTAAACTCACAGAAAGAAGCACGAGCGGGACCCAGACTTGCGTCGTTGCCATGGCAGGGACGTTGTTTGGACAGACCTCGTGCGGAAACTCATCCAGCAACTTCCCTTTCGTCACACTTTTGGTGTTGCGTTTGTGAACGCTCGGAAATGTGACCAGTCTTGTCGGAAAAGGTTTGGGGAATTATATTTATTCAATCAACTACGTAATGTGAGTTTTTAGGATTTTTTTCATTGCATGCATTTTTAAAAATTATTTTAAATCTAAACGTATAGATTCCTCTGAATGAATGTCGATGTTGTCAATTGTAAACGTAAATGGCACTGTTATGTTGCCAGGTCCCTCTTGAAAAAGAGATTTAATATCTCAACGAGGTTTTTATATAGTAAAATAAGGGTTATTATTATTATTATTATTATTATTATTATTATAGTTGTTGTTGTTGTTGTTATGATTTAAATTTTTATACTTATGTTGTTATTTGACTATAAAACTAGAAAACTTAAGGTGTATAAATGTGTTGTATAAATGATAAATTTGACTTACATTTTACCCAACTTCTCTTTGGACATCCTTTTGCATTTTAGTGGTTGATATTTGTGGAAATAAATAGATAATAAATAAACGAGGACACACATGTGTAAATAGAAATACATCAGGTAAGGATTTATACCTAAAAGAAATCACTTTGGTGAAAAAAATAATAATAATAATTTTAAAAAACTGGTGGTTTTATTTGGGGGTGGGAGGAATGCAGTGTTTTTAGAGTGAAGGTATTTGGAGTAAAAACATGAATTTCAGGGATACAGACAGAGGCTGCTGTCGCGGGTTCGACTCCCGACCGTGAGGCATTTGCTGAGTCTGTCTCCTCATTTCCTGTCTGGTGACTGGCAGTGAAGACCTCTAATGGGGGGGAAATATTTTTAAAAAAAGAAGAAGCAGAACTTTGTCTCAGCCATTGGTTCCATCAGACTTAGGAAACGATGGAGGAAACAGCCGCCTTTAAAGCCTGTGCAGGTGCCATCACGGGATGGGCCGCTGTTGTCGTCACCAAGGCCGCCAGACTGGGGGGTTGGAGTGGACGCCGGTGAACTGGAGCGCGCGCCCCTGGGCTCGGGAAGCGATATTTCCTTAAACATGCACGCGTTACTTAAAGACAGGTCTGCGAACAATTAGAAACAGCTTCAAGGTTTTTTTTCTTCCCACGTCAGCTCCAGTTAGAAGGGAAAGAAAAGCGGAGGAATGCCCGCGACGGGAAGCAGGAGTTCCTACCAACAGGTAACATTACAGCTGCCCCCCCTTTTTTATCTTTCATATATTCCATAAACAAACTCTCTTCGAGTCATGTGACTCTGCTGTCGACGACGTCCTATAATAAGTCATGTAGCACCACGCCGCAAAGCAACATGTCGTCGTTCAGCTGTTGCCATTTTGGACGGGTCTTGTTCAAACTCAAAGGGCAAAAGGCATTCGGTGCTGTGATGAAATGTTACAGTTCTAATGTTTCCTTCTGTGATTTTAACTTTAGCTTCATTAAGAGAATAAGTAGAGCTGGTGTAGCAGCGCAATAAACTAGTGGAGTCTATAAAGTTTGTCCAAATATGTGGTGTTACTTCAGTTCAATAAAATTCAAACTTTAGGGCTAATCCTAACCCTAACAGTATTTACCCCCAACAACATATAACCAAAGCAAACAATTTGAAATATTTTTAAAATATAAAACCACAATATAAATACATTTCAGAACTGCTTATTTAGTTGTGGCAAAATAAGACTGTATCAAAGTAACAGTAAAAAATAAAAATCCTCATACATTTTTTCCATTGTGAAATCAGTCACACTGCATGAAAAAAAAATCAACCCTAAGTTAACTATACGTTGCCCTCGCGTGTTCGGTTAAATGTTTAACTTGAAACAAAATGGTTTTAGGAAATCGGCTGAAAATAATCAAAATGAATGCTGGTTTGCCCATGCATGTTTTTGCATGGGCGGTACTAATCGTTGTTTTGTCATCCACCTCTGTTTACCTCTGCTGATTTCATCAGATTAGAGGGCTGGTGAAATCATCTCTCTCAAAATAAAGCCAGCTTCTGCGGATTTATTTTTGCGAAGTCAGTCACAAACTTGCCGAAGATGTTTCACCCAGTCGTGGGCCTTCATGGTTAATCATATAAACTGTTTAATCACTCTGCATATTTAAAGCTATGTCAAGACCAGAGCGCTTTTCTGTTTCTTTTAAATAAACAGTTCAATGATGAAGACGACGAAGGCAGACGTCCGTCTCAAGACTCTTTCTACGATGTTGACGATGTTAACGCAGAGACGGTTCCTGAGGAGTCCAACAGCATCGTCGGACAAGGCAAGCGGTTTAATCTGTTTACGTTAGAAAAGTAGACACACTTAGCAGCATGGAGCAGTTTGTCTCAAAGCATCACTTCCTCGTAATTTTACCCTTCCTTATTCTACTTCAGAGAGTGATGAGAAAGAGAACAGTACACCGCGGAGATTCAGCAAAACCTGCGTGAAGAACGTCTTCACCGTGCTGCTCATCTTCATCTACCTGGTGCTGACTGCCGTGGCCATTTTCCTGGCCTACCAGACCATCTCCGACTTTCTGGACAAACTTAATCAGCCTGTGATGTCGGTCAGCTACAAGGAAGTGGACTCCTTCTCTCCTCCTGGTTTGTATGAGAACAGCACAAAAACATTAGCAGAGCCGTGGTAATCTTTGGAGTACTGGGACAAATTGGTGATAGAATCAATGGTGCTGCCAAGGGAGGATCACAGGGGGCCGTGGCCCATTTTGGAATTGTTGGGCCACCCCATTTGTCTTTCCAACAAATCATGTTCACGTCACTGAAAGGCATACAGAGACATCCTCTTCAATAAAGACATACATGCAAAATCCAAGAGATAAATAAATCCAAAATAAATTAATTGATTCAAATTTGGACTGGCCTGGTCTGGGCACCTCTATAAAAAACTAATTCTGACAGTTCCTCTACTAGATAGGATAAATATTTGTCATTCAATCCCCAAATCTGGGAGGCTGCCGAACAGAAAGCCATCAGAATTTATCTTTTTAGGTTTTCTTAAGCCATGTAATGGTAAAAAAAAAAGTGGCTGAAGGCTAGATGAAACAACAACGCAATTTTGAAACTCACCCTGAAGCATTTTGCATGGCGAAACACAGTGACAGCTGCATCGTGCCGATCCCAGTGGAACAGAGTATGGATGGAGCTGAGCACCATGTGATCCTTGAAGAAACATGGTGCTCCAAACTCTGAACGCTAACACCAGAGATACAATGGAAAGCTGATTAGAGTGGCCCATTCAAAGATAAGGTCAGAGTTTGATTAAGAGTCTGTGACGAGATTTAACAGCAGCTCTTCACAGATTGAGCTTGAGCTGTTCTGTGACGACGACAATGAGTAAAACATTCTCCAGATATGTGGAGCCACGCATCCGATAACACCGTTCTAACAGCGCATGCTGATTCTTAATTACACTCAGCTTTGTGTTGATTTGTCACATAAAATCCTTATAAAATACTCTGAGAATTGTGGTTGTGATACGACAACATAAGTAACCATCATCCAGGCTGATAATTATGTTTCCACCTGTGGAGAAAGTGTTTTTCTTTGGTTAAATCTCGTTGAGGTAAAATGAACAGTTTGTGAGACGTGTTTACATAGTGGAGACGGAGAGTATTTGGCACCTTAAAGCTTTATTTCACACCTACTTTTTAGCACCACCGGCAATCAAGTTGGTGTAAATAACGAGCGAGCGAAGGTGTTAAACGTGGATATAACACGTTTTTGTTGCATCGCATCACTTTACATACCATCAGCGCTGAAACGCACGGTGCCAGGCAACTGATCCAAAACAGTTGTGTCTGCAGCGTCTGAAAAAAAACAAAACAAATTCAAACACAAAGATCAAATGAATTTAAGCAAGTGCACTCTAAAGTACGTGTCAAGTCAGAGTGTCTGAACTGTAAAAAATTCCTAGCATTTTTTTGTTTTTTCCTGCCTCTGATCAGGTATCGCTCTGTTTCCTGACGATGCTCTGCTGCTGAGCTGCAAACATCACTACCACGACAACATCCCACCTCTAGTGGACCCTGGTACGCCCCAGGAAGGGGACTGTGAGACCACAGAGGTGACTTACCTTGGGCCGTTCACAGAGAACAAACAGGTAAGGCGTGAACGCAATGATTCAGTCGAACGTATGTGACCCGAAAATTAATTCACACCCCTCGAAACTTTAAACGTCAATTTTCAAATCTTCAATGATGCTGCAATACATTCTTCGAGAGGCTATCAAATAAAATCTCCCCCCAAAAAATACTCTGAAGTTTGTGGCTTTAATTGGAAAAAAATGTGGAAAAACTTTTAAAGGGGCAGGATTAGATTTGCATCATGTTGTAACGTGACGCAAAGCAACATATCTGGAGTGTTGCTTTGATTCTTTCATGCATGTTTGAGAAATCCTTTAGTCTCCATGGCAACCATTCAGCTGTTCAAAACGCCAGGGTGGACCTAGCCCTGCCTTTGAGGAGCTGCAGTTTTCATGCTTCTGAGCTTTCACTTCCCTCACTCAGCTCCTTCAAACTAGTCAGCACCAATCAGCAAATGCCTAGTGGAAATTTGTATCTACTGAGCTCAGAGAAGTGCTGGTAAAAACATTGTTACGGGGCTAAAAGAGGAGCCATGTTGCGATGACTTCCTGAGGACGGAGTTTGTGAAAGAACAGAAGCTTCTTAAAGAGACAGAGGCCCTATTTCCAGAGGTTAAATTCACATTTCTTTTAAGTCATACTTGAAAGATGCAGCGTTTTTATAAAAACTGAAGGTAGCAAAATCACTTGACTGTGCTATGAAAACACATAATACTGTCCCTTTAAGTGGTTTGAATTCTTTTCATGTGAACCGCAGCCGCTGATTTACAGCCACGCATCCTCTCTCCTGCCGTGTCACAGAAACGGGCCGTGGTGGTCCGTGGCCCATCGGACGTGAAAAACAAAGAGCTGATCTTCATCCAGTTCAGCCAGAATGAAACCCGGGAAGACTTCAGTGCCATTTCATACATGCTCTTTGCGAAGTTCAGTGACTTGATTGAAAGGTA